CACAGATGAATCCTACACCAGAAGAACTTCTTGTATCTTCTAACAACTGGTAAAAAGCCGCATTACTACAAATACGTACCCTATTTTCTCCATGTCTATGTTCTCTAAACCTACCTTTAGCTTATTATTGTAGTCTACCTCAACAAGCCTGGCCTTATTCTGTAATTTATTTTTTTTAAAATACACATTTACGTATGCTAAAGTTACATAAGATACTTACTCACTACCATATTTAGCACTAGATGATCTCTTCTTTTGGTATTTTTCATGTGATTCATTCAGCTTTTCTACTACATCTATTATCTGTTTCAGTGTATGAAACGTTGCTACAGAATCTTCAATTGTGAAGTTAGAATAATCATCTGGTTCTTTCCGTGGACCTTGATAGACTGCTATACTTCCGCAAGCCTCTACAAAAAGCACCACAATTATGTCAATTAGAATTTTGATAAGTAACAGAGATCTAACACTCACATAAATAATGATTCTGAAGTTCAGAAATGTAAAGTTATTCTAGCTTACACATAAAATGGCTTAAGACAAAAGCAGGAAACAGTATCAACTGTATGTATTTATAGTTCTGCGGCTTATTCTCTGCCGGTTGTGTTCAGCATCTCGAGCATCCAGCTCTCTCTTTCACATTAATAGGAGACTATGCTTTCTTGCAACTCAACCATGTTCCACAGAATTCACTCCAAAGTCAGGAAAAGGAGAGCAAAGACAGAAGAGCAACCAGCTATAGCTGCAGTCTCTCTGTTTAGACTATTAAAGGTATTTCATATATGCAAATTCAATTAGAATGATGTGCATGCCTGATGTCTATTGTAAAGCAATGACTGAACAATGTCTATAACAGAGCACTAAGACAATAAAAACATAATCTGTGTGTCTATTATTTTCAAGTAAATTGTTAAGACATCAAACTGATGTCATGGGCCCAAAGAATTAGAGCTGAATAATATCATTATTTTGAATTATTAAGTACCTTCCAACTTCTGTAGTTTAGATATGTTGAGAGTGAAAAGTGAGTAAATTCTTTCTGTTTCTCTGT